TGTGAAGCCCGTATGTAGAGATGTGAAGGAAAGACCCTGGGCTGTCAAAGGCGAGGCAAACCACTAGGACACCTGCTCTATCAGTGAAGGAAACTGTATCGCTGGCTGTCCCTGACTCTAAAGCCCACTGGGCTGTACAACTGGAGTCTGTGAAGTGGTGGCAGGCTAGCCGAGCTAAGGTGTAAGCTATGGCGGTGGAGCCCCAATAGCAGAGACGACATGCTGCATGAATCCAAGTAACTGCTGCTGCATGAGGAGCTGCTGCTGCTGGATAGCCTGCTGCTATCGCTGGAACTCATCCTGTCTAGCCTGAACCTGTGCTAGAGCAGCTACGGTCTCCTGGGCCTGGCGAGCCTGATCCTGCCTCATCCGCTCAAGTATCGCAAGAAGAACAGGGTCTGTTTGCAGTGCCTGTGGAGCTGAGCTAGAGCCACTGGCCTCACCGTCATGTCATCAAGGAGGCATCCGAGGGATATCCTGGTAGTCATCATCTGTACTGTCGCTGGGGTCGCTCTCGACCATATCCTCCTGCTGAGCATCTAGCTCCTCCTCCTCTGTAGCTGCTATGCCCCTGATAGTCTCATCCTACTGGGCTACAGACTCTGGCACCTTGGGGCGATGACATGGCTGGCTAGGTGTCCTCGTTGTACTATGGCGGAGCATCTGAGTCATGTTATATGCTGGAAACTCTGTAGTGGCACCAGAGTACTCTATCAACATCTCAGGAGGCCTCACTATGATTGCCCTATGAATCAGAAAAGTAATCCAGTGAGCATACGACAGCTGCCTGTGACCTCTGAATCCCTCTGCAAGTGTATCCTCCATCTCAGAAAGAATGACATCCCATATATCAAAGACTGTCTGCTGCATCAGAGCGTTTAGTAGCCATAACTGAATGCGAGTCAATCCCTCGTGATATCCCATCCTCGGTAGCAGGGTCCTCCTCATGATAGTATCAAGCAGTCTGGTTGTAGGAGTAAGATCTCTGGGTGTCCTGTTCGACCCCTCGTCGAATGGCTTTGTGAAGCAAGGTCGGATGAGATCTGTGGGAGGCACAAAACCACTGAGGGCATCTAGGAGGCTCTGTGTGTCCATAGCAAACCTCAAGAATGCGGATGGGTGACTCCTGTAACCTGAGGATCTCTCTGACCCTGAAGCTCATCAACCTGTAGTCACGGCCTCTGAATGCAAAGTGAATAAATCTGTGGCCTGGGTCAATCCAAAGTGTAGCATAGAACTCATAGACCCATGATGAAACATATCTGCCAGTCCATCCAAGTAGGTCTATCAACCCTGGCAAGTAAGAGAGATGAGGATGGATCTACTCTCCAGCTGCTGCTACAATGGCCTCAATGGAACATACTCTCTGAGATCTAAAAGCCACACCACTGTTCAGATAAGCATTATAGAAATCCTCCTGTAGTGGTGTATAGAAACCCTCTGTAGCACGCTCATCCCTCCTCGATGTGAACCAGTCCTCGAACTGCATAAATCTGAGCTATTGCACCTGCTTGGCCGTGGTGGCCCTCAAATCCAGATGAGTCACTGGAGGCGGACCCTGTGGTCTAGGAGGCGGATGAGAACCCCTCCTCTGTGTCTCTGGCCTTGGTGTCACCTAGGTACGAGTATGACCAGAGTGGCGTAACTATGGCTGAGGTGCCTGCTCTGTCTCCTCGGTCTGCTTTGCCTGCTGCTGTGGCTCCCCCTGAGGTTGACTCTCCTCCAAAACAACACGCTGTCCCTCAAGCATGACAGTCCTAGCTGGACTACCATGACGACGCTCAACCTGCTCAATGGCTGCCCTCTATGCTGGTAAAAGCTGATTTGCAATCTGAACTCCACTCCGAGCACCTCCTCTCTCTGCACGCTCTGCGACGGCTACCACTGCTGCTGCTCTCGTTGTATCAGCATCTACATACTTCCGCTTCTTTGATGTAATCTTCTTCGTTGCCTTGCCTTTCACATCAGCAGGCAAGCAAGGTAGAGGCCTTGGATCCTCATCACCTGGACCACCTCCGACGTTCTTGACATGAGCCATTGCTGAAGCTGAAACAAACTGCAATCATGGACAAGAACCAACTGTCACTGACACTTCCGAGTCTTGGCCTCGATCCGTACTCACGATCTTGGCCCCGAGTTGACTGACAACTGCCAAAGTGACCTCAACAACACCAACTCGCTGCATGATGGAATATATTGGATATATGAATAATTTCAATATACATCTAGAGATACGAAACCCTAAGAACCAAGCAATAGGTACAAAATTAGAATCGAGGGCTTGCTACCTGACGAACCGGCGAACCGAAGAGCAGAGGAATGAAACGGGGAACCACCGGGTCGACAGCTTGACGTCTAGGGTTAGGGTTGCTGCAATGCGGCGTGGATCGGCCGTGGAGGTACAATGTAGGCACTGGAGGCGCTGGTGAAGGTAGCAGGGACTCCAGTGTGGCTTAGGCGGTGCTAGGGCACAGCGGCGTGGAGCAATGCGGTAGGGGAGGCGCAGGCGGCGGCGTGGGAGTGCTGCAGGTGGCTCGGGCTTGGTGGCGTAGGCGGCGGCGCGGGAGCGGCGTGGACGCGGGAGCGTGCAGCGGCGCGGGAGTTGCACGAGCGTGGCGGAGCTAGGGCACGGGCGCGAGGTGAGCTCGAGCAGTGGAGGCACGGCGGCGATGTCGGCGCGGGTGGGAGCGATGGTGGGGATTAGGGCAACCGGTGGTACGGTTATATGGTGGCCCCCAACGGATTAAGAAAGGAAACAGAATAGGAGTTTGGAACCCGCACGACTTCAACTGACCGGACGCACCGGTGGCAACGACCGAACGCTGCCACCCGGAGTTTGGTCGACAACAGAGAGGTCCAAAACCTCCCAAATCGCGATTGGACGCGTCCGATCCCTACTGACCGGACGCAGCCAGAGTTCGGTCGATCCTTAGATCTTCTTCTTCGCTTGACCGGACGTAGGAACGCCATCTGACTGAACGCAGGGAAAGAACTGTTTCAGCATCCGGTCACTCCTTTGTAGCAACGGTTCACCACCTGTGAACTGACCGGACGCTGGACATCAGAGTCCGGTGCAGCGTCCGGTCACTCTTTTTCAGTAAATCTTCAAAGTTCCTTCGTGCTGCCTATTCTCAATCAAGTCCCAACTTCAATAAGACCTAAATAAACACTAATTGGGACTGATGTGAGTGACCTCTCTCAAACCTCAAATTTTTAAAGTATTTTGCCTTAGGCTATAATTCTTTTTAAGAAAATAGGCAATAAAAGGGTGATTTAAGAGAAACGACAAAACAACATACATGTATATGCAATGCAATACTTGAAAGTAATTCTAGTTGCTTGTCAAGTTTGATCCAAGGTTAAGCTTCTTCACACGCTTTTCGGCGGTTATCTTAACCATGTTAGACAAGCCCTAAATGCATTACCAAAAAATTAAACATGTTGTATGTTACAATGCAATGCAAGGGACAACACAAGCTTATTTTCTACTGAAGTTGCTAAAATCAAGCACATTGAGCTCATTCCTCAACCGATAAAATATAGCCTCATCTAGAGATTTAATGAATATATCCGCCAATTGATCCTTGATCCTTACACCTTCTAATGATATATCATTCTTAGCAACATGATCTCTAAGAAAGTGATGGCGGATATCTATGTGCGGTGCGAGGCACGGGGGTTTCCGTCCGGAAAAGGACAATCGCCCTAAGGTATCATTATCGAAAAAATTATCGCTATGCAAGTTTCAGCATTAGTATATAAAGTAATTAAATTCGCTTCCCTCGCTAATGAACAAGTTATATGTACCTTTTTCACTTGCTTTGAAGACTAAAGCATCCGGAATTTGCCAAAAACTCTTGCCATGCAAGTTCATGCATTTATATGCAAGTAACTAAATGTTTGATAAGTCAAAAAACTCGGAGGTTGGGTGTTATCATGGTTGTCAAAATACTACAGAAAGAATAATTTCCACTCAAGACATAAGAAAACCAAAATTATATAAATGGTAAAAAAAAGACCTTTGTATTTTTTGGAAGGCAATCCTATGCACATGAGCCTTCAATATCTCAGGAGTGACTTGAAAATTTTAGTGATATGACAATTTTTATCGTTTTTATGCATGTGCTGCTACTATGACCAAAAGAAGCCATAAGGTAGGAGGATGGTTATGTTTCACCTAAAAAAAGGAATATTTATGGTCATAGATGAATACAAAGTGGTTGGAATACATCACAATTGGAGAATGTTAGCAGTTCACATATTGACATTTCATTGAAACTGTTTCTTTGGGAGGGTTGGATTCTTCATTTAGCTCTAACGGGATTGCGGGAGGGTTTTTTGTGGGCTTCGCAGCAAGCCAGCAACCTCACTCTAAGTGATCACAAGATTGGCTTGTAATTGAATACACTCTTATTGGCTTGTAGATAATAGTAGTGGACAGCCTGCAGTTTGTTTTTCTTTTAAAAATACTTTCATGGCATTCTAATATCACAATAATTTTCTTGATTGAATTGGATGCCGATCTAATTTGCTTTGACAAATCTCAGAGTAAAAAATTGGGCGTGGGCGTGGGTATAGTATTTGTTTAGCCAAATAAGAGCGTGAGTTCCTAGAACAATCTTTTTGGCAAGATTAAAAAAAAAACATTTCCCCAACAAATTTCAATCTCACCACCCAATCTTTTGGCACTTGAAAAAACCCATCACGCGGATAAATACGCGTGCGTATCAATCACACCAATATAAGGTGAAAGGATGTTGGAAAGAATAAAAAATAGGACAGGATTCCTGATACAATTGTACTAGAGAAAGAATGTATAAAAATGGTTAAGGTGATTTAGAAATAGTTATGGATTTCTGATGTAAAATTATCTCCTTTTAGGAACGAGATTTTAGAAACCATTGGAACAAATATGCTCCCAAGTTTTTTTAGTCACTTGAAAAACTCATTAGTTTACCAAGTGATAGTGATATTTTAGAAACTGTGGAGATGTAACACGTTCAGCCTATTGCCAAAAAAACGTTCAGCGTATTGCCAAAAAAGAAAGAAATTGTTGGTTGGTTGGATGGATTTGGGGCGAAACCGGGCTGCGTGCGTGGATGCACGCTGCGGCCACGATCTGCTTGGCGACCTGGCAACGAGTTCGTTGAGGACACGGCGGTGCAGCAGCAGCCGTCGCCAGTCGGCATCGGGGCCGCGGCAGCCTGCAGCACTGTCAAAGGTCTGGATGACCAGAACCTGCACAAAAAAAAAAAAAAAACCGATGACCAGCACTCGCGGCGCTGTAGGGGAAGTTTTGATAGCGAAGCCAACGCATCTGCATCGCAAGAATGACCAAGCGCGCATGGAAATGAACTGGGAATGCTGATAGCAACTGCATGCTTATTGGCTTATTGCGGTAGGAAAACATCTCTGGTAGGAGCAGTTTTCTAAAATTGAGGAGCCATAACCAATCTCCACTGTTCCAGGTACCAGGTGAAAGCAACACTTCCGGAATTACATCAGTAGCCGACATACACTGCAGCGTTGACTATGTAGCAGTCATCGTTCTTATCCCCCATTGCTTCCAGGCACACGCCGCTTGAACAGATCATGCCACCATCAACTACCTCGAAGCTGATTATTTTGACGCTGCAAAAGATCGAGGCAAGGGCACATGAGATCCAGAAACAAAGACGCACGCTATCATTACGCAGCAATGCACATTTTATCAGGGCACGCCTTCTATATTAGTGTCCACCACTCACGAGTACCCTAACTTGGCCCCCAAAAGGCTCTGCCACCAGTTTGCAGCATTGATATCGGTCATTCTAACAAAATATATTCCACTGAATTTGAGAATACCTGCTTAATTTTCGTTAGTGATACTTGTACTGCCAAATACCATCTAGTCCATGATACTCGATTTTGATCAGGTTTTTACATTGTCAATCGTGTTGACAATCATCTTGAATGCCTACTGAATAATTAGTATGCTAAAAGGTGGTCTTCAACATGAAAACTGCATGAGTAGCGCCGCAATTTCAACTGATACAATATTATTTCACAATGATTCAAGTAAATATAACTTTTCGTAAGATATAACACCAACATACACGTACGTATTATGAATTCACATAAATTATTTCTTTTGCAAACTTGACAGTCATCTTATATAAAACTACATGGTATGGCTATTGAACATTCCATAACCCAATGCACAGTAGTAAAATGAACTGATCTGCCATGATATTTGATGGAAGGCTAAGGTGCTTGTCTCTTCTCACTAGTTGGTATCAAAAATATTATAGCATCAATGATGTGCAAGATATTGTTTTTACTCAAAAAAGGGTGTACCTAGTCCTGAATTTTCTAGACAGACTTACCCTTTGTGGACCCAGAGAAATTGTAGTGTTGAAGATTCCAACACCATCCCTTAGTATAATACTGACCACACATTCTTTGCTGTCCTATTTGAAGTATTTGCCAGTCTTAGATGGTGTGATGGCTCAAATGGATGTTTACTAAATGATGATACCTTAAAAGTTAAAATGTTAAGGTATTAAACTTAAAATGTTAAGGTATTCTCATTTGTGATGTTGATGCTGACTCAATGAACTCTTAAAGAAACATGTCGTACAAGCTTGACCAAAGCAGGAAAATCAGGTGTTTCTAGGGCCCGTTTGGCTCCCTATGGCACGCCGAGCTTTGGCCACGCCAAAAGTGCGGCGCATGAAAACAGCACCACACTTTAGGCGAGCTACGACATGCAAAATGAACTACTGGCGCCTAAGAAGCGTGTGGCATACCGCAACTTCTGTCATGATCTAAACATCAGCTAACGTTAGGCGAAATGAGGCGTGGCGACATCTGGTAATGGACCGAAAACAGCCATAAGCTCCACCCAGGTCACTAGGGGAAATGAGGTCAGAGAAAGGAATATTATTCTTTTACATATGTCAAGGAGCTAGTATAGGGCTGTACATGAATACAGAATCTCTAATCAAAGCCCACGACTGCCTAAACTAAACCATTGGTATTGTGGTCTCTGTGCCAAGACATTCTGTGGAATCTCAACTGATGAGGACCACTCTTAACAAATTTTCATACTGTCATGACTTATGAGCACCGCAGCCAGAAATGTTTTTCTATGCAGAGCAATGAGTAGAGGTCATCATGACATTGTGCTAAGAAAACATCCTGTCTTAGGCTCACATATTCTGCAATTGATGACGTCTGACTATATCAGAGGCCACGTATAAAGCAGCGTTGCAAATTTAGAGCCCTATTTACTCCCCTAACCACTGATATATGCTCATGAAATCATCATCTCAGCAATAACCAGGGCACTAAAAAATAACTACTTCATTATGAACTGCGAACCCATCACATCAATTGTCCGGCACTTGGATGCTAAATTTCAAAGTTCTAACAGGCACCACGAAAGAAACGAGAGAGAGAATGCTCACTAGGGGAAGACGGCCTTGACTCTCTCAGCATCCAGCAAGTGCTGCGTCGACTTCGGCACCCCGAGCTTGATCTGCAGCTTCATCTGGTCGGTGTTCACTCCAGGAATGGACCCTGCAGCAGGCGCAGCACACAACCAAAACAACCCAGTTCAGCATCTCCTGCCATGCCATGCCGTCGACATGTCCGACAGAATGCCCGTCAAGCAGGGGACAGCGGGTCGGCGAATTTGTTCCGTACCGCCGCGGAAGGCGGGGATGGAGTTGGAGGTGATGGCGTCCTTGCAGGCGCGCACGGCGGCGGCGGTGATGTCCTGGCCGTGCTGATCGTAGCCGACGCCCATCTCCACGAACAGCAACTTCATGGCCGGCTCCTCCGCTCCTGCCTGGGCGTCGCTCGCCTGGTGGGGCTGCGCGACCTCCATCCGAGAGGACGCGGCCGCGGGCGCTGGATTGTTAGGGTTCGGAGATCGGGTGCGGAGGTGGGGGCGGGAGTGAGTATGAGACGGTCGGGAGGAGGACGACGGGAGCGGTGGCGTGCTTGGTCTGGTCGGGAAGAGGAGGCTGCTGACGCCATCTTTGGCATCCCAGTAGTGGAATAGTGAGTGTTGCAATTTGCAAAGGTTCAGAGGTCAGCAGTGTTCGAGGCCTAAACCGTCGAAACTAAACGCAGTCGATTTTCGCAATATGCGACCGGGTGTAGCTTTTTTTTTATGACTCTTTCCTGTTATACTCCCTCCGTCCCATAAAAATGCAATTATATAACAATATCATATTTTATATATCAAGTTTGACTAATTATAGAGAAAAAAGTATAAATATTTATAATATCAAATAAATATCATTGGATTAATTATGAAATATAGTTTCATAATAAATTGATTTGGACCCATAAATATGAATATCATCTACTAAAAATTTGGTCAAACGTGAAACTCTTAAAATGACACGTATACCATAGTTGCATCTTTTAGGAACTGAGATAGTACTCCGTATTGTTACTCGTTGTCTTCGCATGATAAAATATATCTAATTAAAACTTCTGCGCATATACATCGTGGATGGTTGCCACGCATAGGTTAGACGATCCAACAACGTGTTGCCTACAAAAGCACGGTGTAGGCTTCACTCGGCTCCGGCGCATGGCTTCTTAATCCTAGCCCTCGGCTCCAGCACACAACTACAACTCTGGCTTCAGTTGCATGTGGGAGTCTAATGTTAGGATTGGTAACTACGCATTAGAGCTGAGTGAAGCCTGTGTGGTGTTTTTCTAGATATGTTGTTGGATTATCTAGACGGTGCGTGTGGCAACCATTTATGATATATATGCACGAGAGTCATCATGAATACAGTTTTCAAGAAATGTTTTTCCTAATTGGCTCATAGAAACGGCAATAAAAATAGAGAATGAAGGTGTCTCAAATAGGTGGAATCGAAATATAAACGCTAATATACCTATAATATAAATGTCGACAGAATATCGTCGGCAGTCCTCCGAGAGGTATCCCACGAAGGTAGATTGATCGGCAGAGGAGCGTGAGATCAAGAACAAGAAGGCAACAGAGACACACGAGTTAGACAAGTTCAGGCCGTCAGTATGACGTAATACCCTACTCCTGTGGTCTGTTGGTTTGTATTAGCTATCGTATGATATTGCGTGAGTTTAGAGGGGGTCCCTACCCGCCTTATATAGTCAGAGGAGCAGGGTTACAAGTCGGTTAGATCTAAGAGATAACCGGAAAGTAATAACTGATTATAGGAATCTTGGGATCATACATATCCTAACTGATCTCGTAGTATCTTTAGGATATCTTTCAGATGTCTTGCGGAAGCCACCGAGCAGAGTCGTGCCTTGCAAGGCGTTGTCTTGTGGGCTGGGCCGCCCCTGGAGGCGCAGCCCATGTGGTCTGCCGTGGGTATCCGGGGTCGTACCCCCCACAGCTAGTCCTCGAGCGCCTTGTACTCGTTGTGCAACGCCGTTTTGCGCTTGTCCGAGCAGGTGCGAACAAAGCCAAGCAGTAAAACTCATGATCCGACCACCGTGATGAGTTGTCGAGCAGTTACGAGCAGTTGCCGAGCAGCGCGGACCACAGCCGAGCAGTATGATCCAAACACGGCTTGCCATAAGGGTGTAAGGAGCTCAAGTTCAGAATCGAAAATTTCCTCGCAGTGAACCAAGTGTGCCCACTTCGACTCCAACCACGCGAGTAGGAGATAATCTTCTTCAGCCTCAAGGGGCGCGGAGTCGGTCAGAAAAAAGCAAGCACATTCACCGCGAGGTGAAGTGTGCCCACTTAGCCCCGAGCCTAACAGTAGATGACGTAGTCATTTAGTGCCAGGGTCCAAAATAGAAAACCAGCCGAGCAGGCAGCCAGTCCCCGGGCGTAGACCGAAAAGCACATTCACCGCAAGGTGAAGTGTGCCCACTTAGTCCCCGAGCCTGACAGTAGGTGACGGAGTCACGTGGTGCTAGGGTCAGAAACAAAGAAATAGTGAAAAACCAGCCGAGTAGGCAGCCAGTCCCCGAGCCGCAAGCGGAGATATCGGGAGAAATCCAATCGTGGAGAAAAAACCAAAGAAAATGCTGTACAGTAACGGTTGCTAAGCCTCAATAAATGGCGGAGAAGTTGGCGATTATTCGGCGAGTAACAACTAACGGCGGCGATAAATGAGCGACGTTGGTTGCGGTTGCGTGAAAGCCCAGGTTACGGCCCATTAAGCCACGCCAGAGAATTTAGAGAAGCACAGATCGCGTGAACGGTTTCCCAAAAACCCTCGAATGCGAAAGGGCGAGGAAAATGCTTTATAACGGCGTCGTCGCCCCCCGCGCTCCCACCTTTGCCACTTCGCCATTTCATCTTCATCCTTAGCCATCACACTTCCAGATTTGCACCCACGCATGCTGCCGGCGCTAGTCCCCATCCAAATCCAAGAGATGGCGCCGAAGAGGAGAGCTGTGAACCCGAAGAAGGCGAGCCCAAAGAAGGCAGGTGCCGGAGCCAGTCGTGACGAAGAGTGGGCACCATCGCGCACGGGGGAAGCGGAGCTTGACAGATTGGTGACGGCGGGCGTGCTTCCTGACCGCGTCACCGCCAGATGGTGGCCAGCCAGTGGTGAGCCCTTCCTAGTGTCTAACTAAAAGGTCCTAATGGCTAGAGGGGGGAGGTGAATAGCCTAATAAAATTTCTACAACAACACTTAACAAAAGAATTAGACAATTATGAGGCGAAGCGAATTTTGCACTAGCCTACCAAAATGCAAGCCACCTACCACAATTCTAGTTTAGATGAAGTATATCCACACAATAGCTATATCACTACACTAAGTTAGTGTGCTCTCAAATGCTAACTAAAGAGTCACACTAACCAAACTAACAAGCTCTCACAACTAGTTACACTAAAGAGCTTGACAACTAGTTTACGGTAATGTAAAGAGTAGGCAAGAAGGTTATACCACCGTGTAGATGTATGAACCAATCAATCACAAGTGTGGATAACAATGAAGACCAATCACCTCGAAATCAATGATGAACACAATGATTTTTTTACCGAGGTTCACTTGCTTGCCGGCAAGCTAGTCCTTGTTGTGGCGATTCACTCACTTGAAGGTTCACGCGCTAATTGGCTTCACACGCCAAACCCTCAATAGGGTGCCGCACAACCAACACAAGATGAGGATCACACAAGCCATGAGCAATCCACTAGAGTACCTTTTGGTGCTCCGCCGGGGAAAGGTCAAGAACCCCTCACAATCACCACGATCGGAGCCAGAGACAATCACCACCCTCCACTCGACGATCCTCGCTGCTCCAAGTCGTCTAGGTGGCGGCAACCACCAAGGGTAACGAGCGAAACCCACAGCGAAACATGAACACCAAGTGCCTCTAGATACAAACACTCAAGCAATGCACTTGGATCACTCCCAATTTCACTATGATGATGAATCAATGATGGAGATGAGTGGGAGGGCTTTGGCTAAGCTCACAAGGTTGCTATATCAATGCAAATGGCCAAGAGGGTGAGCTTGAGCCGGCCATGGGGCTTAAATAGAAGCCTCCATGAAATAGAGCCGTTGTACCCCTTCACTGGGCATAATGCGGGGTGACCGGATGCTCCGGTCCGATCGACCGGACGCTGGCCCTTAGCATCCGGTCACGTGATTCACGCCACGTGTCCCCTGCTTCAAATACTATTCGTTAGATCTCAACGGTTGACAAGCTGACTGGACGCTCCGACAGAACTGACCGGACGCTGAACCCCCAGCGTCCGGTCGTTTACAGTAAGGGTCTAAAACCAGTTTTTGCCGACCGGATGCGTCCGGTCATGCTTGACCGGACACAGCCCAGCTTCTGGTGCTTAACCCTAACCACTGTGCCGACCGACCACTTGACCGAACGCCGCCTTTCAGCGTCCGGTCGCAGAGCGACCCAGCGTCCGGTCAGTTGACCGACGCCAGCATCATTGTGACCAACTCCATTTCACTTCTAACTTCTTCACCCTTATTCAAATGTGCCAACCACCAAGTATATCACCTTGTGCACATGTGTTAGCATATTTTCTCAAACATTTTCAAGGGTGTTAGCATTTCACTAGATCCTAAATGCATATGCAATGAGTTAGAGCATCTAGTGGCACTTTGATAACCGCATTCCGATACGAGTTTTACCCCTCTTAATAGTATGGCTATCAATCCTAAATGTGATCACACTCTCTAAGTGTCTTGATCACCAAAACAAAATAGCTCCTACAAAATATACCTTTGCCTTGACCTTTTTGTTTTTCTCTTTCTTCTTTCCAAGTCGAAGCACTTGATCATCACCATGCCATCATCATCATCATGCTATGATCTTCATTTGCTTCACCACTCAGGAGTGTGCTACCTATCTCATGATCACTTGATAAATTAGGTTAGCACTTAGGGTTTCATCAATTCACCAAAACCAAACTAGAGCTTTCACTAACACCAATGAAGTTGTAGTCTTTGTGGATTATTTTTGGCGTGAGTTGGGGTTCCCTGTTCATCCTTTCCTGCAAGATCTGCTGGAATTTTGGTTGATTAGTTTGTGCAATCTCCACCCCAACACCATATTGCACATCTCGATCTTTATTCATTTCTGTGAGACGTTTCTGGGGGTTCTGCCGCACTTCAACCTCTTCAGACACCTATTCTGGTTGAAGAAGAAAGGCAGCGATGGCTCCAAGGTGGTCGGCAGCGTATATCTGCAGCTCCGGGATGGAATGGCCAGCGAGTACATTAACGTACCGCTGAACACTTCTCTGAAAGGGTGGAATTCCAAGTGGTTCTACATGAAACAGAGCCACCCTACAATCCGCTGCGACGTCCAACATATCCTGGAGAACCAGAAGAGCTGGTCGGAGAAACCGAACAGTGCTGACATGGAACAAGTTAGGGAGCTCCTCGACCT